TAACAGGTTCAGAGTCAGCAATCTGGATGCTGCTCTTTTCCCATAATGGGTTTTCACTGTGACACAGCCAACAGTCTCTCTCTCTCCAGGCAATGATTTAGGGCGTAGGTTCAATCTTGTTGGAATCAGGAGAGACTTCACTCTGACACATTCTTTCTCAAAGAGGGTTTTATTATTAGTAGTAGTAGTAGTAGTAAAACAAAATAAGCTACCGGATGTAAGGCAAGTAAGCCTACAGACTAACAGAATTCATTCTGCATATGAGGAACCCTAAGTACGAATTCAACTTCCGTGTGTGTGACTGTGTTCTAACACTCTTTACACTAGAAAAACAGGCTATAGTTCTATACACATTTCTCCATATGTGCTGAAACATGGTCAGGTCCCATCTGCAAATTTACCTTTGTAAATCAGCTGTAAAGGTCACCCTTATATTCCACCCCTTGAGGAAAGTTGAAAAGCAGATTTGTACCTCACCATTAAAGACTGCAAAAGCACTACTGATTCTGAAATGCTTAATACTCTTGTAAAGTATATCCTTATACTTGCTGTAAGAAATACTTTCATTTATAGCTTAATGTTTGTGACAGCTGGCATCATCCAATTATCCATGCCAGGGGCCACTGTGGAAATAGGACTAATTAACATTTGTATTTCAGCTTCTGCTACCCTAGCAGGTAGGATAAAGGTCTTGGAGAGGAAGGATGACCAGTAGTGTAACTCTTAAAGTATCCCTTAATCTGTAGGCCTCTCTAAGGCTTACAGAATTATACAAAGTTCAGTATTTCCATATTTTATTCCAAATAGCTAGTACCAAGGATGCTGGAACAAATGTCTAATTTGAATGAAGTTTAATTACAAAAAGGTTCTCTATTTCAAGACAAAATCTAAAACAATAAATCAAACTCAAGCTCAACTCAGGTCCAGGATGGCTCCACTGCTGAGAACTGAATTGCCATCATATCTGTCCAGTGGTCAGCACTGCTCAAGAGCAGGCTTCTAGTACTGCCTGGGATGCACAGAGTTGAGCAGGAGAGTATTGGAACCATGTACTCCCTATCTACAGTAGGCGGATTTCCATTTCTGAGCTGAACATTTGAGGACAGCTGCTGAGGCAAAATGCCTGTGCTGTAGCCAGAAATGGTAACCCTAAAGTTCTTGGGAAATCACATTTTGTAGTGTTGGACTAGGCAGACTGGTTTAGGTATTCCACAACTGGAGAGAAGGACCCAGTCCATCTGGGCCACTCAGTTTGTCAGAATGGAGTCCGGATCCTCTTCAAAGGATATGTATCTGTAGAAGCTGCTGGCAATGGGGACTGGTTGGGGTTGGCGGATGAGAGTGAAAGTTTTGTTCCCTTATTCTAGAAGACAGGGATCATATTTGTAATCCCAGAAGGTGATCAGAATTGTTACTTTAAAACTCAAAAACAGATCTACAGACCACCAACTATAGTGAAAGAAGGTGGTAAGTTTGGGGCAGGCTCTTTAAGTGCAGAAAGTTCCCTGCCTTCGTCAAAACATCTTATGTCTGGGCAACTGGCTACTTTCATATACTGATTCATTTTTCACAAATAATGCAGGAAAAAGATTTTATGTTCTCCCAGAAATAATTGTCAATTTGTCTCACAAGATAACAGCTCACTGACAATGCACCTAAGTTAGTCAAGAGCTCTGATGAAGATTTACAAGAATAATGTTTCCATGCCTAACACATCTATTCTGTAGTCCATGCATAAACGTGTAATTGTGACTTTCAAACTCTAATCATTTAAGAAACATGTTTTGTAAGGTTACAGTAGACATAGTCCTTAATATATAAAGTTGCTATAATCCTTCAGGAAAGGATTCGCCATTTTAGATGCCATTAAGAACATTCACGATTCATGGGAGAAAGTAAAAATATCAACATTAACAGGTGTTTGGAAGTTGATTCCAACTCTCAAGAGTGGCTCTGAGGGGTTCAAGGCTCCAGTGGAGGAATGAACTGCAGAAGTGGAGCCTGAAGATGTGACTGAATTGCTGTAATCTCATGCTAAAACTTGAACAGATAAAGAGGTGCTTCTTATGGATGAGTAAAGAAAGTGGTTTCTTGAGATGGGATCTACTTAGGGTGAAGATGCTGTGAACGCTGTTGAAATGACAACAAAGGATTTAGAAAATTCCATAAATTTAGTTGTGAAGCAGCAGCAGGGTATGAGGATTGACTCAAACTTTGAACAAAGTTCTACTGTGGGCAAAATGCTACCAAGCAGCACTCCATGCTACAGGGAAATCTTTTGTGACAGGAAGAGTCAATCAAGTGGCAAAGTCCATTGCCTTATGCTAAGAAACTGCCACAGTCACCCAACCTTCCAGAAACTACCACCCTGATCAGTCAGCATCAACTTTGAGGCAAGACCCTCTACCACTGAAAAGATTACAACTTGCTAAGGGCTCCGAAGATCTTTGGCATTTTCTGACAATATTTTAAAATTAAGTTATGTATATTTTTAAAGATACAATGCTATTGAAACACATTATAGACTTCAGTGTAACTTATATATGCATCAGGAAACTAAAAATTTTGTAATTTGCTTTATTGTGATATTTGATTTATTGCTGTGGTCTGAAACCAAACCCACAATATCTCTAAGGTATGTCTGTATAAGTTCCTAAGCATAGTATGGGGGCATATCTAACTAATGTGTAACATTTGAAGTAGTGGCTATTCTTGAATTCACACTTTCACGTGAATTTTAGAATCAGTTTGACCAGCTCTAAGTCCTGTTGAGAGTTTTAAAACAGGATTGAAATGAATTATTTACAATATAACCTTCCCATTCATGGCCGTGATATTCTTCTCCATTACTGAGGTTTTCTTATCTTTCAAAAAAGGACATAAGACCCTAGCATATTTCTTGTTAGGCTTTTCCTAGGTGATTTTTAATTGTTATTATAAATAATATCCATTTTCCCATAAAATATTGCTATATGTTTGTATATTAATCTTGTACTGTTACTTTTTTCAACTCTATTGGTTCTGATAGCTTGTCAGTTGTCTACCTTTCATCTTCTAGGTAAATATTTCTTACAAATAATGAGATTTGCTCCTACTTTCCAATTTATCTCATTACCTTTACTTGTCTTACTGCACTGGCTAGGGCACCCAAGAATACTATGGAACAGAAGTTGTAGAGGGTATCCTTGTTTGATCCCTGAAAAGAATTCTTCTAGCATTTTACCCTTGTATATGATGATTACTAGAGATAGCTTTTAACAAGTCAACAAATTTCTAGTTTGATATATTTTAACCAAATATGGTGTGGTGGTTTTAAATGTAATCTACTCCAGTTAAAGACTATGACAGTCTTTATTATTATCACTATTCAAACTCAAGAATAATGAACAGTATGTAACAAATAATGTTTTACTTTAGCACCCAGGAAGCTCAAAACCAAACGATCTGAATATAACAACTCTGCACAGCATAGCCTGCTCATCTATATGACATTGACGCTATTCCTTCCCCCAAATACCGTCTATTCTAACTTACATTATCCTAAATATTTTTCTCTTGTTTTTCTATTTTACTGAGTGGATTTCATATCAATTGCCATATATTTTTAATGAAATAAGATAAAGTATAAATAAAAATGTTTTAAAAATGTGGCTATCTTTGGATTTAAAGTGAAAAATGTGATACAACCAGGATAGTATATCACATGGAGATCTAACACTATGACTAACAAACCTATTGGGTGATGTGAATTAAGAATTTGGTTCAGAGGAAATCAAGTATTTAAGCTGAGGTCTGCTTATACACATGGTTAAGCTTATTTGTCATGAGTAGTCATTAGTAAATACATGTTAATTTCATACAATTAAAAAGAAACCCACAAACCATTAGCATTTTGATTAATACATGATTAATAAAAGTCTGAACATACAATCTTAGATCATTATAAATTCTTTTTGAAACGTAGGCTGGATGCAGTGGCTCACACCTGTAATCCTAACAAATTGGGAGGCCATGGAAGGTAAAAAGCTTGAACTCAGAAGTTCAAGACTACCCTAGGCAACATAGTGGGACCCCATTTTTACAAAAAATTACAAATATTAGCCAGGCATGGTGGTGGGCACCTATAGTCCTAGCTACTTGGGAGGCTGAGGTGGAAGGATCACTTGAGATCACAAAGTCGTGGCTGCAGTGAGCCAAGATCACTCCAGCCTGGGCAACAGAGCAAAACCCTTTCTAAAAAACAAACAAACAAAACAACAACAACAACATTGATCTTATAATTGAGTGATAAAACTAAAAAGTAATCACCTCTCCTAACAAAAATGTAAACAGGACCCATAATTTATGATTTGATTGTTTTTCCTTTGACTGGGCTTTAACATATATGTTTCTGTAATTTAAATAAAAATCTATTTACTTTCTCCATTTTAGCAAATGGTTTCTTTACCCAAATAGGTTGCACCATAGTCCCCATATGGTTTTCTACTGTTCCACAACCAGTATTTCACAAAGATTGACAAAACTTTAATAAAAGTTAAATTTATAGACATCTTAAGATAACAAGATAACTTGGGAAATATGCAGTAAAAAAGAATCGAGTCCACAAATTATGAATATTTTACCAATATGTCAAACACCAATTTCAGCAAATCCAATCTACCTAACTCATATGTTTAATGTGGCAAATTTTCTTTTTTTTTTTTTGAGAGGGAGTCTCGCTCTGTCGCCCGGGCTGGAGGGCTGGAGTGCAGTGGCGCGATCTCGGCTCACTACAAGCTCCGCCTCCCGGGTTCACGCCCTTCACCTGCCCCAGCCTCCCGAGTAGTTGGGACAACAGGTGCCCGCCACCACGCCCGACTAATTTTTTTTGTATTTTAGTAGAGACGGGGTTTCACTGTGTTAGCCAGGATGGTCTCGATCTCCTGACCTCGTGATTCGCCCGTCTCGGCCTCCCAAAGTGCTGGGATTACAGGTGTGAGCCACCGCACCCGGCCTTAATGTGGCAAATTTTCCAACAAAATTTAATGGGTGTATGAATGATGTATTTATGCCCTTGACAAAGACGACATGTTTGATTTTGTTGTGACTAAGAAGGGAGAATATGATTTCTGGTGGTGATTATATCACTCTGGCTCATCAAAGCTCAGAGAATGTGTAAGGTTCTGCCACATCCGAAGATGTTAGGCAAATGTAATAGAAGGTGCACCAGGCTGACACACATTTTCATCATACAAATCTTCTGGCAGTTCCTCTTCATCTCCATCAGGAAAATATGTAGGGAATGGTAGATTTTTACCAAGATCCTTATATGCAGGTAGTTTAGAATCTCTGACCTGAGAGAAGGCAAAAATCGTAGTAAGTGATACGAATTAAGTTCTTTAAAGGTAGCCTTTTCAGCGATTATTCATAATCAGAGAAATACCCGCTACTACATTTTCTAATGTGAGTAACATGACTGTTATGTATATAGAGTAAAAAGAACTCAGTCAATGCTTTCCTTTAATTCTAAAAAATCTGACTAACCCAGTAACAGAAACTCAAGCTATAAGGATAAAATCATCAATTATTATTTATATCTTAGCTTATAAGAATCTCTAGGACTGTCCCACAGGATAAAATCACACTCTAAAATTACTACTTGAATTTCATTTATATGGATTCATTTTCAAATATAATGACCTGACAAACTAGCATTTTTGTTAGTCTTAACTCTAAGAGCACATAATCAAAAATATCACTTCTTATTAAGGAAATTAGCTTACATTTTTCTTCCCCTACCAAAAGAGTCATTTCTCCAGCAAATAAAACAAATAAACAAGATTGTATTTCTGTGTCACATGGTCAAAAAAAAAAAAAAAAAGCCTTGTATAGATGGAAGATTTAAAGATAATTCTTCAGCATTTTCAAATCTGGGTGAGGGCCTTTAAGTTGAGATTATTTTATATATCAAGTTGAAACTATTTTATATCATCCTTGATTTAGTACTGAATATTCCCAAGGCCTTAGTGCATTTTCTGCTTATAGGTGTCAGCAACAAGAATCAATCCTATCTTCATATACAATAAATGCGGCATGATGTATGTCAGAGCATACATTCTTATTGAGAAGTTAAAGACAGAATAATATTTAACAAAAACAATAACAGACCTATGAATCTCTGTAAGAGTTCTGTTAACTCTATATATTCTCAAAAATTCTAATTATATCTGTGAATTCATAGACTGAACAATTTTAATATAGGTACTGATGTGATCTAAAACGTTGAGTTTATTTTTGGAAAATATTGGATTATTCAGAACTTCTGACTCATTCTACAGCCTTCATTCATAAGTAAATTTAAAAAAATTTACATGTAATTGTATACACAGAGTAAAATGAAGCATAATTACTTTAGCAATAAGAAATGAATAATTTGGTTGAAATAAGGTACACAGCTGCTAGGAACAGCCTGGTACAGAAAAACAGATCTACTTTAATCCCTCTTATTAAAATTGTTTAAAGAAATTATGAGTAAATTACCCAGAAGAAAGTAAACTTGCTTAGTTTTGTCCCCCAATCCATTAATCTTGGGTTGAACTTTAAGAAGGGAAAAAAGTCATATCCTTACCAATTTAAATTTGCTCAGTATTTAGGATTGAAAATAAATCCCAAGCAAAAAATCCAATAAAACCAATTACAACAAAACTTTCTGTGCTAATTTGAGAAATAAAAATTGTCATCAATGACCCAAAGAGATACTACTTCTCAGCTGCTTTCACACTTTTATAGAACTATTACACCTGATACATATTTTAGATAATAGAAGCACTGTTTATAAAACCTAAGTATTATAATTCATGGATCTGAAACGTTAATGACATCTCATCTCAACCATTTTTGTCTCGGTGGTGCAAAAGTTGAGGGCCAAAGGTCTGCAGTCCATATGTATTTTTGTGTATTTAATCTTACCCGAGGTTTACTATTTCCCTGCCTGCACCAGGACTTCCTCAATTATCTACCTCATTCTTTTTATGTCTATCAGCAAACCAGTCTAAATCTTCTAAGACAATATGCGGGAAGGGCAGACAAAAACCAGGCAAATCTGAAAATAAATTATATACAGGACATAGGAATGAACATGAATGAACAGTATTTTATAACATATATTTATACTTATTACGCTGTAAACAATAGTTCTCTAGCCTTCATTAATACATTTAGTGAATCTGAAGAGCAAAACAAAAAGCTCAAGACAATTAAACAGGTTGGTCATCTCTAAGACTATCTTTAAAAACTTCAGGATCTTAAAAAAAAAGTTATTGGTAACCCTGTACTCTGAGGAAACAAAAGCTCCCAAGACGTGAGTGGATGTTAACAAAGTTGGCTGCCCACTAGGAAATGGCTCAAAACCCGTGGGCAAGGAAGGACTAATTTACCTGCTATGGAATCAATGGAAGAACGGAAATAATGGAGTGAAAGGACACAGCAAGTTTTATCATTTAAAACACAAACCTACAAAATGTTCCCCAAATTCATACTTTAATTAATGCCTGGGCAGATTCTTTAAGGTTACAAAAGAAAGTTATTTAAGCACCATATTTCAAAGATATTTTTTAAAGGATGAGTTCTTTTATTATATAAATACACTTGCTAAAATATATTCACTAGTGTGTTAATAGTTCAAAGGGGACTGGACATTGTTTTGATGCCACAGTTTTTCAAAATGTATTTAGACTCCTCTTTCAGAACTCTTTGGTGTATCTTCTGAGTATCTTCAGTGATGGCAAACTATTATCAATTATGAGAGTGAATGGAGTTTTTGGAAGCAACCTTTTATTGAAGTAGGCGATAAATCTGAGTAATAAATGTTACTGGTTATCAACTATTTATTTATACAACTACATCAGAGTGTCATTGTATGTACTATGGTTTTTCAAGATAATTGACCATTCATCTCTGCTGGTGGCAGGGATATTGTAGAAGCACTTGAGAAGATGTCGTAGTAGTATTTGAGAAGTCACAGCAATCAATGGTAAGGTTCGGCTAGAAAACCAGGCTAGAATCATGTATGTAGAAAAACGGGCAGAAAAGGAGGATTTGACATTTAAAAATTAATCTGGTGACCAGTATACTTTTATTACAAAAAATAATCCTTCTCCTTTATTAGACTGTGCTATTTATAACCTGTGATCTGAAATGTAGGGCCAGGGATATGAAGATATGTCTTCATATGAATTATGAAGACAAAATACTATGGGAAGTACAATGACAATCCTCTGGCTTCAACTGCCTGTCATTGTAAGTATGACTGCCTTACTTGGGGACTAGAAATCTACTTAAACTTAAAAACCCACAAACTTAAGGGAAAAAACAAAACTTACAAAAGTTCATCAAATGCATTTTTCTTTCCTTTTTTTTTTTTTTTTAAAAGAAGCTAGGTCCCACTCTGTTGCCCAGGCTAGAAAGCAGTGGTGTGATCATAGCTCACTGCAGCCTCCAATTCCTGAGGCTACGTTATCCTATCCTCCCACTTCAGCCTCCTGAGTAGCTGGAATTACAGATGCAAGCCACCAGGCCTGGCTTAAATGCATTTTTTTCTTTAAGAAAAATGAGAATAATCCAGTCAGCAAAGTGAAGTGTCCCAGAAAGGTAATTTTAAAAAGCAAAACTCTTATTCCTTGTAAGATTTCAAAAAATTATTCCTTATACTAGTAATGGAACCTAGAAATGAAAAAAATATATATAAGGAAATGAGTTTAAAAAATCAGAGGTTTAAGTTTCACTATTTCTTTGCTGCTATCATTGGAAAATCAATGAAGAATATACTCTGGAGAAGAGTTGACATCATGTCTAATACAAACTTATCTTCAGCATGGAAGATTCAAAACTCAGAGGTAAGAAAATTTGTATTATGTTAGAATAAACCCCACGCAGAATATTTATTTTGTATTTTATGGAAGTAAGTCTCTGAGAACTTAAAGAGTTTTTCTTAAAATGTATCTATCCGTACAAATTTTTTATTTATTTATTTTTTTTAAAGAAAAACACTTAAAGATGTAATCAGAGCATGGTGCTAGTAATGATAAAAAAGCTCCTCCTCAAATGGCTACCTTTAACCACTTTTGATGATTCCAATTTTTACCTCATGTATTTCTGGTTTGTCAAAGTAACTCTTTTAAAAGTCAAAAAACATTTCTGGGGGGAGTGGGGGCAGGGTTTACTTATAATTGACACATAATTGTACATATATATGGGATACGGTGTGATGTCTCAATACATATATACATTGTATAATGATCAAATCAGGATAACTAGCAAATCTATTACTTTAAACATGTATCATTTCTTTGTGGTGATAACATTCAAAATCCTGTCTTCTAGCTATATTGAAATATACATTACTATTAGCTATAGTCAGTCACCTTACTATATAACAGAACACCGGAATGTATTCTTCTTAACTAACTGTGCTTGTAGACCACCTCCCCCAGCTCTCCTCCCCACCATTTTCCCCCAGCCTCTGGTAAAACCATTCTGCTCTCTACTTCTATGAAATCAACTTTTTCAGATTCCACATAAAAGTGAGATACAATATTTGTCTTTCTGTGCCTAGTTTATTATACTTAACATAATGTCCTCCAGGTTTATCCGCGTCACCACAAACAATAGCAATTTATTCTGTTTTATGGCTGAAGAATATTTTAGTGTGTGTATGTATTCTCTAGAATATTCTTCAGCCATACACACACACACACACACACACACACACTCTCTTTATCCATTCATTTGTAGATGGGGCACTTTAAAAAAGCTAACATGTTCCCTTTGGAAGGACAAAGATATACTGCTATTTTGGCAATAGTTATCCAAATATCCTTCTCATACTCCTGAAGATCTTTCTGCTTACTGGCCTGATACGGTTTGGATTTTTGTCTCTGCCCAAATCTCATGTCAAATTGTAATCCCCAATGTTGGAAGAGGGGCCTGGTGGGAAGTGACTGGATCAAGGGAACAGACTTCCCCCTTACTGTTCTCGTGACAGTGAGTTCTCACAAGATCTTGTTTAAAAATATGTAGCACCTCCCCCTTCCCTCTCTTCCTCCTGCTCCAGCCATGTAAGACATGTCTGTCTCTCCTTCCCCTTTTGCCATGATTGTAAGTTTCCTGAAGCCTCCCTAGCCATGCCTCCTGTACAGCCTGTGGAACCACGAGCCAATTAAACCTCTTTTATTTATACATTACCCAATCTCAGGTATTTCTTTATGAGTCCATCCATTCTATTAGGATGGACTAATACACAGCTTTACCCTTTTTACAGGTTCTTGGTTTTACAGAAATAGAATACAGGTTATCTTGTGCATTTTTTTCACTCAGGTGCTACTAAAAAGCAGAAAGATTCAGTAGAGAACATGTGAAAAAACAGCCATTTATTTATAAGTCACATATATGAGTCAAAGGAGACTTTATGGCAAATATCCACACACATAAACAATAGAACATAAAGACAGTAACTTGTCAGCTTGCGAGTAAGAAACAAAAAAAAAGGAAAAAAAAAAGAAGACACTTATACTTACCTTTACTAAGCAATTTTTATGTCCAGGTACAGAGCCATTTACATAGATTATGTTGTGCTTTGTGTTTATTCTCCACACCTAAAGCATGAAATAAAACCAAAAATTTTAGGATATACTTGTATTAAAACAAACAATGTTATTAAAAGCTAAGGATGGAAGTTGCTTATAAAGTAAATAATCTTATCAGTACTTCAGAATGTTGAATAAGAATTGAGAAACTTCAAGTCCTATGGATGACTTGTAATAGAAGACCACAGCAGATATATCTTATGAAAGTAGTAGAAAACTCTCATTTTAAATAGAGATCTCTGTGACTGAATGATCAAGACTATTTGGATATCTCAAAGGACTCTGTTGGCACCATTAACAATAACAAGTGGAATTTTAATTTAATTTAATTTTTAGTTACTACTAGCTTGCTGTACCTACAGGCTGGAGAAGCTGCGACCTCACTGATTCTAATTTCTAAAGTAAGGAGACTGAGTAGATGGTCCTCAAAAGACCTTCATGTGGAGAAAAAGCTTAATAAATGGGAGAATGATTGGTCAAAAAATGGTACTGAGAAAATAAAATATTTGGAGAAGAAATCAAGTTTGACCCATGGCTCCTATCTAATAATGAATAAATATTAAATATTACAGAAATTGAAATCACACACACGATGAAAATATAGCAAACAGATGGTCTCTGATGGGTATAATTGTAATAAAAGGGGTAAAAAAATCTTAGGTTTAATTATACAAAATTTGAAAACTTCTCCTGGTCAAAATTTATACATAAAACGTATCCAGAATAGAGACTGGGAGGATATGCACCAAAATGTTTCCAGTAATTGTCTTTGGGTACTGTTCTCATGGGTGGCTTATTTTCTTCTTTGTACTTTCCACACTTTAAAACATATAGGCAAACAAATACAAACATTAGTTGCTTAACAGAAATATAGTTATACAGCATCCATTATAGTATAACTCAGTTTTACTTAGATACATTTCTCATTGGTAGAGATTGAATCCAACTTCTCTTAAATACACATAAATATTTTTTATAAAAACGGACGTATATCACAATTCTTTTGTAGTGCTATTGTTTCCTCCTATTTTGATTGTCTCCCACTCTCCTTCTCCTTACCTACATCCACTTCCACACACACACATCTGATATATAATCCAAGAACCTGGTATATACCCTTCCACTCTTCTGTGATTATATGATGGCACAGCAACATACATATGTAGAGAGCTTCTGTTCAATCTTTTACTCAATAAAGAGTATTATAGTGAATGCTCTGAAACTTATTTTTTTCATGCAACAATATCTTGTAAAAATCTTCCAGGTCCAAGAGAGGACTACTAATTTTGTCTCTTTAATGACTGCACTTTTCATGGCTTGAAATATACACTACCATCACTACCACTATGACTACAACTAGAGTGTACACACACACACACAATTCATGTATCCTCTTTTCCTCAATAATTTTAAAGCCTATTAGAACAATGGTATATAGACACAGATTAAATACATATTCTGCTGCCTTTGCATTTAGACAATTTAGCTGCTCCTAAAAAGAACCACTTGTAAAACTTACTTTCAGTCCAAACGCTGTCCTATATATGTTTCCCATTTTTCCAGGCATTTTAGTTCCAGGCCAGACTCTGCCAATATCCTAAATGAGAAAACTAAAGTTAACACTTTTAAGTACTATCAATTTTAAACAGAACTGATCAAACCACAATGCAAACTAAAAATATAAATTATTAAAATGTTTTATTTTTCCCCTATTCGGCTAGGTCCCAATAAGGAACTAAATATGGATTTAGACATATTTACTCCTAGAGGATTTCCTTTCTAAATGAGACTAGACTGACAAAATAAATACAGACTAAGAAACAGATTTAGGAGAAAAACTCAGTAACAACTGACCTAATACTGGGTAAGAATTAAAAAAGGACAAGGGCATACAGACACACCGACACATCATTCAAAGAAAAAAATGGACTGCCAGGCCTGTTTTGAACTCATCTTCTGCATTAACTGACTTAATGGACTTCACCCATATCACTGGTGCTGGGATGGTCCTACTCCTCTTTGCATTAGATGTTACTTTCCTTGATCAAAATATTAAAGGACAGAGTTAGTTATCGGAATACTTGGTTTGTCTAGCCCTGGTTTTCTCTGATTTATATAAATCTAACAGCTTCACACAGTCTCTGATTTTGGCTCTGATAATGGATGATAGTTCTGTATCTAAAGAAGCAAATCTGAATTACGACTAAAATGGAACAGCTTCTTACAATACATGAATTCTCAGAATATAAACACTTTTCCATCAGCTGCTCTCACAATAACAGGTGAAACTTCATCATGGCATTAGATATGTTTAATATGTAACCAACATATTGGTTACTTATCAACATGGCATTAGATAAATACCTCATCATGGCATTAGATATGTTTAATATGTAACCAATAGGCTTAAAAGACAATTCTGGGTATTATAGACTAAGTATCACTCATATTCATTCTACAAATATATTCCATTATACATGACTACAATGTTCCAGTAGACAGAACTAAGGCATATACACACACACACATCCCTCTATTTCTCTGTGTTTCATTTTCCCTTGTGTGCATGCAGGCATTCCCCTCCCCCACCAAGCAGTATATGCATACTTATAGTTTGAATTCAACACTATAGGGTTCATTTTAATTTTCCCATTTTCAAACTTTAATGCCCTTTTCCAATAGTGAGAAACCTAGCTCCATTATCAATATATTTACTTATCTGCTCAATCCTACAATTCACAGAAAATTATTTCAGAATTGCTAACTGATACTAATTCAAAAGACAAACTGAATTCAACATTTGCACAAAGTACCTTTTAAATTTAGACTCAGGGTATATACAGTCAAACTACAGATGCTCAGCTAACCTTGTGGAATATAACTAATTCTAGTCTGGCTCTGGGAAATGAGTGAGGGGCAAGGATCCATAAAAGTGTGACAAGTACTTGGAGCCCCCTGGTGTCAGACTAAAATTATGTGACTTCATATCAAGGATGGACTGAGGACTACAGGTGCAGAAGTTGAATATTTAGCATTAAAAAGAGCTTCACTAGTTATACTCACACCAGTTGAAATAGCTCCAGGTCTCCTGTGGGTTTTCGTTTGACCATGCGTAGCAGGCTGGCCTTTAAATCCCCATCTTTTCATGACTCCTTGAAAACCTTTACCAATACTGAACAAAACAAACGTTAGAATTTACATAATGAAAAGAGCATAGACTATTCCCAATTGTACACTTTCTAGTACCAACTGTACACTTTCTTGTTAGAGTTTTAACAAAGCTTCTTATCTAAATAACTAGAAAAGGCTATACAAGTAAAACTGCAAATAAACATTCCTTTATCTCTGTCCTGGTCTGCATCCCTTCCTGGAGTCTAATTCTATATAAAATGATTAATTCAAGATTGTGAGACACCAGCGAGCTAAGCACAGGGAATTTTATCTGAACAGGAGTTTTATCATCCTAATCCTGTGAAGATGACACAGTAAAAATGGAAAAGCTCTAGAAGTTTCAAAGTACTTATAACAGATATGGCAAGCAGCCATTAAGATGGAACCCAAAGATCACCACCTCCTGGTACTCATGCTCTTGCTTAATTCCCTCCCCTTGAATTTGGGTGAACCTAGTCCCTTGCTTCTAATAAATAAAATATGGCAAAAGTGATGAGATGTCACTTCTGAGATTTGGTTACAAAGAGACTGTAGCTTCCATCTTGGTACTCTCTTGCTTGCCAGGCTCTGAAGGAAGCCAACTTCCACAGTTAGTGTAAACTGTCCTATGGACAGACAAGCCGCAAGGATGTCTCCAGCTATTAACGAAGGAGCTGAGGTCCACCAATGGCCTATTAGTGGGTAAGAAGACAGATTCTCCCCAATTAGAACCCTGACATGACTACAGCCCTGGGTGATACCTGACTGCAGCCTTGGGAGAGACCCCAAGTCAGAGGCATCCAGCTAAGTTATAATGGGATTGCTGAGCACAGAAAACTGAGATAATAAATGTTTTTTACTTTAAGCTATTAAGTTTTAGGATAATGTGTTAGGCAGTAAAAGGTACTAGTATAATAGAGGACTAAATAGAAAAAAATAATGCTCTAAATGCTGAACAAATTTTATTTTAGAAGATATCAGAAGGATCTTCATCTCAGGGTTGAGAAGAAACAAATGGAGAAATAAAATCAGAGAGTAATAATTTCTTACTATCTAAAATCTCCTTTTAAAATGAAATCACTCTATTTTCAAATTCTGTTAACTTAGAAGAACACCCCATGATCCAGGTAGAAAGCAAACAAAACTAAAGCTCAAGCATTATTAAAGTTTGTTTCTGAAATGCTCAATATATTAGGTATAGAAGGTATGTAGCTTGAAACAACAAAGGCCATATGACAAACATACTGATGTTATGCTTTCAGCTATTCCCCTAAGATCAGGAACAAGACAAGTATGCCCACTTTCACCACTTCCATTCAACACTGCTAGAAGTCTTACAGCAATTAGGCAAGATAAAGAAATAAAAGGTATCCAAATTGTAAAGGAGAAAGTAAAGTTGTCCCATTTGCAGATGGTATATATAGGAAATCCTAGACTCCACCAAAAAAGTGTTAGAATAAATTCAGTAAAGTTGCAGGATATAAAATTAAAGTATAAAATTGGTAGTGTTTCTATATACTAATAGTGAACTATTTAAAAAAAAAATCAAGAAATCAATTCCATTTTCAATAGCTACGAAAAAATAAATAACCAGGAATAAACTTAATAATGGAAGTGAAAGATTTCTACACTGAAAATGATAAAATAATGATGAAAGAAACTGCAGAGGATGTGGGTAAATGGAAAGATATCCCCTGTTCATGAACTGGAAGAATTGCTAAAATGGCCATACTATAGAAAGTGGTCTACAGACTTAATGCAACCTCTATCAAAATACCAATGACACTCTTCATGGAAATAGAAAAAATAATCCTAGAATTCATATGGAACCACAAAAGACACTGAATAGCCAAAGCAATCCTCAGTAAGAATAAAAAAGCTGGAGACATCACACTACTTGACTTCAAAACATACTACACAAAGCTATAGGAGCCCAAAGAGCATGCTACTGGCATAAAAACAGACACACAGAACAATGGAATAGAACAGAGGACCCAGAAATAAATTCACACATCATGGTCAATTCATTTTTGACAAAGGTAACAATACCACGCATTGGGGAAAGACAGTCTGTTCTATAAATGGTGCTGGAAAACTTGAATACCCATATGTAATGAGGTTAGACCCCTCTCTCTCACCATATGCAAAAATCAATTCAAAATGGATTAAAGACGTAATGAAAAAAAAAAGTATGAAACTACTAGAAGAAAATATAGGGGAAATGCTTCACAATACTGGGCTGGGCAAGTATTTTTAAATGAGACCTCAAAGCACAGGCAGCAAAAGAAAAGACACATTACATCAAACTCAAAAGTTTTTTGCACAGCAAAAGAAACAAAGCAAAGAGACAACCTACGGAATGGGAGAAAACATCTGCTAACTACATCTGACAAGAGATATCTAACATACATACTAAAAGAATTGCAAAAACAAAACAAAACAAAACAAAACAAAAAAACAACTAAAATAACTGCAAAGGAACTCAACTAAAAAAACCCAAATAACCCAATTAAAAAATGAGCAAAATATCTTAATACATTTCTCAAAAGGAGACAAAGAAATGGCCAACAGGTATATGAAAATGTTCAAAACCACTAATTATCAGGGAAATGCAAATCAAAACCACAATGAGATACCATCTTATTCCAGTTAGAATGGCTACTGTCAAAAAGACAAAAGAAAACGAAGCATTGGTGAGAATGTGGACAAGAGAACACATACACTGTTAGTGGGGATATAAATTAGTATAGTGCCTATGGAAAACAGTACGGAAGCATCCCTCAAAACATTAAACATACGAAGACCATATGATCGAGCAATCCCACTATGGGGTAGATATCCAAAGGACATGAAATCAGTATGTTGAAGAGATATCTTATATTTATTGAGCACTAATCACAAGAGCCAAGATACAGAATCAATCTAAGTGTCCAACAACAGACAAATGGATAAAGAAAATGTGGCACATATACACAATGGAACATGATTCTGTCATAAAAAATAAAATCCTGCCATTGGCAACAATGTTAATGAAACTGGAGGACATTATATTAAGTGAAATATATCAGACACAGAAAGATAAATAATGTTGATCTCACTCACATGTGGACTCTAAAAAATGTTGCTATCATAGAAATAGAGAGTGTAACAGTGATTACCCAGAGACTGGGGAGAGGATGAGGATGGGAATGAGGAGGATGGGGAAAGGTTGGTTAATAGGTACCAAGCTACAATTAGATAGAAGGATTAAGTTCTGGTGTTCTATGGTACACTAGGGTATCTATAGTTAACAGTAAATTATTATATATCACAAAATAGCTAGGAAGGTTTTTAAATGTTCTCACCACAAAAAATGATAAATGCATGAAGTAACAGGTACCGTAACTACCCTAATTTGATCATTACACAATATACACACATATTAAAACATCAACTTGTACCCCATAAATACAACTGCAATGTGTCAATTAAAAATAAAATTTGTCTTTGAATATATCAGTACAAAGGACACAATGAAAAGACTAGAAAAAAACTGTAAGACTGTACTAGACTTTAAAATTTTTTTTTTTTTTTTAAAGAGACAGGGTCTTACTCTGCCAACCAGGCTGGAGTGCAGTGGTACAGTGATAACTCACTGCAGTCTTAAACTCCTGGGCTCAAGCAATCCTCCTGTCTCAGCCTTGTGAGTGGCTAGGACTACAGACTACAGGTGCATGCCAGCACACTCAACTAATTTTTAATTTTTTTGATAGATAGAGGGGTCTTGCTTTGTTGCTTAGGCTGGTCTCGAACTTCTAGTCTTGAGTGATCCTCCCAGCTGGGCCTCCCAAAGTATTGGGATTACAGGTGTGAGCCACCATGCCAGGCATGTGACATATTTTTATATACTCTCAAAATGAAGATTTTTTTCACCTTTCACTAGATAAAACATTAACATATTTTTAACAGAGTATTCCCTAACTCCACCAATGTTAGCTATTATTATATAGTGTACTGTTCAGGTCATTTACAAAGAGGACAAAGAGAAAAAGATTATAAAAACAAACTTATTTCCACAAGGACTTTGCTATGAACAAGCAATTATCAGAGAGCACTGGATTGAAGAAAGCCTACACGAATAATACTGTTTGTTTTCGATACATCAAAAATGCACTCTAAAAATAAGGATAAGGCTGGGTGCGGTGGTACACGCCTATAATCCCAGCACTTTGGGAAGCTGAGGTGAGAGGGCTGCTTGAGGTCAGGGGAGGCCAGCCTGGCTAACATAGTGAGACCTCAAACTTAAAAACAAAAATGATACATTATATGTACAACTTAACAGGTGAATACTATCAAATCATAGGTCAAAAGTTACTTTTATAAGAATAATTTAAAAGTAGCTTACACCACATTCTTCACATTAAGCCTGTGAACAGTGTGTATATAATTTTTTTTATGTGAAAACTCAAAATAATGTGTATATCTGATCAAAGAGCTAAAACATAACACATATTAAATAAAAACCCACTATTTAGTTATGTAAACTGATTAACATCTAAGAAGAGAATAATCAAATACTTAACTGAAATTATGCTTCAGAAATTTAACAAATGTTTCCATTTAACATTGAATTTTAGAATATAATTGAAAAGTACAGTGCTTGGCAATTTAAAAGTGAAAAGGAAATACCTAAAGAGTAATCTGAACGTACCATATCATTTGGCAAACAACACTTCAAAGAAAAAAGGAGAGAGAGGCTGGCAACACTAATCTAAATGAACATGTTACATTGGCCATTCTTGGTAGAAAGTTTACTGGTACTTTTGTGTTCTTAAACTGATGATCTCTTACTTAAAAAGAGAGTGTGAAGGCATGCACCAATAGAACACATGCCAGGTGAACTACAGAAGATAATTTAGCTCATTTTAAGAGTAAATAATTGTAAGATAAAAGTGGTATCCTGAAAGTGCTAATTATCTGTTGGCTAATTACAGATTGCTTTTCAATCCAGCTCTAGAATACATCATGTGGTTATACTGTGTA